TGACAATTCCTTCTCTCTTACCTATTAGAAAAAGAAAAATGAATCAATTATTTCTTCTATAAGGGTCCTTTAGTTATTTCACTCATGTATGAGTAGTAAAGGATACCGATAATATAAATCAAGTGTCGGGCACAACAATTCTTCTAGCCTATCATCTTTACATGCCTTCTGAGTATTTTATGACCGGGATTTTTGAAGAATATTATGATGATTAATTTACCCAAATTCTATTACAAAGTATTTGTGGTAAGCTCTTTATTGTCTTAAATTAGAATTTAATAGGTTTTAATTATAAAGCATTTGTGGTAAGTTTTTTATTACCTTAAATTAGAATGTGGTAGGTTTCAATTACAAAGATTTTGTAAGAAGTTTTTTATTGCCTTAAATTAGAATTTTGTAGGCTTCAATTATAAAGCTTTTGTGGTAAATTCTTTATTGCCTTAAATTAGAATTTGAAATGTTCAATTACAAAACTTTTGCGGTAAGTTCTTTATTGCCTGAAATTAGAATTTGGTAGGATTCAATTATAAATCATTTGTGGTAAGTTCTTTGTTGCCTTAAATTAGAATTTAATAGGTTTCAATTATAAAGCTTTTGTGGTAGGGTCTTTATTGCCTTAAATTAAAAATTTATTGACATTCTATTTTATCTTAATAGCATGAAATGAATGCAAATCAATGTCCAATCATTTTTTTTTTTGAAATTTAAGTTACTCTTCATTAGAAAGTGGGAGTAAATCATCATAAACCAAATTAGAATTGAATTGGTTTGCTCTATAATTATAAACGCACATTAAGAATAAACAATTATTGTTGTAGCATGTTAGGCTATATTGGATTAATTTTTGTTATTATGATGACAACCACATATTGAGAATAGTGGGAGCCAATATTGAATAGTTTGATAACATCATCAATTTGAAACTTATTGAACATGTTAAAAATAAATGATATTTTATTTTTTTCTTTTATTATTGCTAAGGTTGAGACAACTTAAAGATATTTTTATGTATCTAATAATACCAACAACTTTGTCAAATTATTATTGTTTTTATTATTTTGACCTATGATCCGAATTTGAGATTTGGGCTTAAAAACCAGTTGTGGACGACATGTTTAAGAAACAAGCGAAAGCAATAAGCATTTTTTTCTCTTGGCTAAAAGATATATGTAAATAAAATTCAACCTGTTGGCAAATAATTGATAAAGGTATATGAGAAATCCCATGCAGGTAGCATGAGGCAATGCCATATACAAGACCATTGAGGCCAAGAAATCCAAGTGTGGTGTTTGACCACATTGGTATTGTATATGAGAAATCCCATGCAGGTAGCATGAGGAAATGCCATATACAAAACCATTAAAGCCAAGGAATCTAAGTGTGGTGTATGACCACAGTGGTAAGGTATATGAGAAATCCCATGCAAGTAGCATGATGCAATATTATATACAAAACCATTGAGTCCAAGAAATCCAAGTGTAGTGTTTGACTACATTGGCAGGGTATATGTGAAATCCCATGTGGAAAGCATGAGGCAATGCCATGTACAAGATGTTACAGGGTCTTCAAGCCAAAGTGGGAGTTGTTGGAAATGTGGCCTATCAAGCCCTTTTTTTTCTCCTAGAAATTCATTTTTTCAATAATGGTAAGCCATATTGAAATATCTGTGAAATCCCATGTGGTTAACATGAGGTAATGCCATATACATGGATCTATTTTTTAGCTTTAATAAGATGTATCACTGGAGGGAAAAACCCAATATCACTAGAGGGAAAACCCAATTGTGTGTTTGGATTCCTTGTAAAATGTGGGAATGCTTGGATGACATTCTATTATATGAGTCATTAGTAGACTGATGATAGGATTAATTCATTACATAGGATTAGCAGTTTGATGACATCTTGTTAATCATAATTAGCTGCACTTTAGGGAATTAAGGTTGTTGAAGGTAAGATTTCCAGATAGCGTCCCCAGGGTTCAACCTTGGGAGGTCCAAAGAAGAATCACAAATGCTAACCATGGCAACCCATTGCAGATTGTTAGCATTTGTGGTTCTTCTTTGGACCTCACAAGGTCGAACCCTGAGGACGCTATATGGAAACCTTACCTTCAATATATATAAAGGGGCAAAACACAACTTCCTTTCCTCTCTCTCTCCAAAACATTTGTTACAAAAGAGATTTTTTTTTGGGCATAGATCCGACCCCAAATCTCTGTCAAATCCGAAGGCATCGTCTCTTTTATTATTTTTTCTCTCTTGATACATCAAAAAGGGAGAGATTTTCTCATGTTTCATTTACAAATATCGATCCATAAATCTTCTGCCGATTTTGAGATGAAGAAAGAGGAGCAAAGAAGGCAAGTTTTTTTTTTTTGGTTTGATTCTATCTTTAATCTGCAAATGATATTTTTTTTCAACAGCTAACAAGGAGGAGCAAAGAAGGCAAGTTTTTTTGGTTTGATTCTATCTTTAATCTTCAAACGGGTATTTTTTTTTAACGGCTCTGTTTCTCTCTCTAGCAATAACTCTATTGAGCCAAAAGATGCTATTTTTCCTTTTTTTTTTTTTTTTTTTTCAGTTGCTATTTCAATTGAGAAAGATATGGTTTCTTTCTTTTTTACTCCCTAAGGGTTCACCCATTTTTTTTGAACGAGGTAAAAAAAAATAAAAATAAAAAAATAAGGAGACATTTTTTTTTTTTTGACACCTATGGGAATTATTTGGACAATTAAGCAAAGATCATGCCACCCAAAACTCCTGTAACTGACCAACAGTAAGCTTTTTTTTAATTTTCTCTTTTTTTGGCATCTTTGATGCACTACAAAAGAATGGGTAAACCCTTCAACGAAAATCAATCTTTTCATTTTCCAACTTTATGAGATACTGTGTATTCTCATCTCCTGTACATATATCTGATTTTTATTGTTGTTTATTACCTTGAGATAATAGAGTCATCTTCTTTGGTGTCATCATAATCTGTGAATATTTTTATTTCACTGCGGTTTAACTCAGATCAAATTTTCCCAAATCTCGAGAGAGAAAATATTATACTTGAACACTATATATTGATGTTTCTTAGTAATTTGGGTATTTTTTCTGATGATCCAAGTTTGGAAGAATTATTGATTGAGCTGGATTCACATCAAGGCTTCTTCAATTCACCAGTTGTTGCATGTTTTTTTATTGAGCTTTATTTTTTATAGTCCGTACTATCGCCCGGTGAGATCACATCTATAAACTAGATTTTTTTTATTTTCTTGGTCTGTATTTGTTATCATTCATGGATCCTAAAATAGAATTGAAGATAAAAAGACTCA